GCAACTGCGGCCCTTACGCGAGTGCAAGTCATGTCGGTCTAGATTTTTCCCATCAGTGAATGAGGCTTCTTGTGTGAAAACACTGTACAATGTTGTTTTTGTGGCACATTTATTCATTCATATATGCCAGCCATGCACGACTTACATGTGATATGCGCTTATCACCATTTCTGATGTAATCGTGATATGCAGTTGGACCCCTTTATAAGGGACATGCATTGAGGAGCAATTTGTTTTTTATATGAAGTGTCTCTTATAAGCAGGGTTATTGTGTATGCGTTTTCATGTCAACCCATATTTTAATGTGGGCACATCTGTGTTTCTTATACCCAATTGTCTCTCACATCAGTGTCTCTTATAAGGGGGTTCGACTACAGTAATATACTGCTTTGTTCATAATATTAGGTGTGCCTCTTATTTTGAAAATAAATGTTTCAAGACCCAGGCCATATGCCCTGAACTCTTGAGCAGCAAAGTTTGTTGTTTGTGGCCCAAATTATAAAACTTCCAAGACAGGCATCTGGCTTTTACAAAAGTGTGGCCTTTCTTCAATTACTAAAGGTAATTTGGAAGAGATGTGGGCACATTGGTTGTGCATTTATTATTTTTTTTATGGAAGGCATTGCAAATCCAAATTATCAGATGAAAAGCGCCTGTGCTGTTTTTTTTGTTTGTTTCCATACTTCGTGTTTCTCATTGTGCCACGGTGCGTATCCCAGATGTGCGAAAAGGTATATATTAAAAGGACACTAAAGATAAAAATCATTTTTCTCGTAGCAGTATAATACTTTATTTTTTTGCAGTACCAAAATTTCCTTGTTTGCGGTTGGAAGGCATTTTATAAAGCGTACAAAAAGTGCATGTCACCTTGAACTTCCCGCATCATTTGCCGTGACATCAAAGATTTTGATGGCATCTAATAGGGCCAATGTAGTCTTATTGATAAAAATGAACTGCTTTGTCTTCTGAGGGTACCACACATGCAGAGTTCTAGGAAATTACTTTATCATGGTGTCATGCTGACATTTTGGCATAAAATTTAAAAGTAAAACCTTAACCTTGGTTTAACTTCTGTTAATAAGCCAGTTATTGTGAAAGTAACAACACGAGGTTTTTCGAAGTGTAATTTATCAATTTAAATGGATTCATTGTTTCAATTTAGTGTTTCATTCAGAGTCTGTTCAAAGCGACTAGCAAATCTGCCCATATTTAAAAATGAACGACTTAATTATGGCATTCCAAGTTGATGTAATCGAACCTCTGTAAACTAGTAACCTGTTGAGAGAATAAGAATTTGTGTATGGCATTCATTGTCCAAACACCCGTTAAAGCATGGTTATCTAGAGCTCTTATAGCAGTTACTAGGGACTGTTATAACGAGAAGAAAACTTATGGAAGATTAGAGGTGTGTTCAAGGATGTAGTGCTGGGATCGCCAAGTTGTGAACAGTTTCTATTCGTTCAGCGATCTGGGAGCCCGGAAATGCTCAACAGAGAAGAGCCACGCAGCATGAGCACTCACTAACAACTGGTTTATTTCTCGCATTCGAAAAACACATAAATATACAATGGTGCCCATGACAGCAACTTTATGACGACAGTAGAAGCAGCATGCAAAGCTTATCATCGAGGCACTTGTCTATGAATTATGTGTATAGTTAAACTCATAGTCATGTAGCTATAAAGGAGGATGTCTGGTACGCTGGCCTGCATTCCTGGAAATGTGATCCTCTTGAGAAATTTCATGCGTAGTTCGAAGCGGATCCCAGAAAAGAACACTTGTTTTCTCGAGCAATAGATGGCATTTGCACAAATTGCAATTCGAGGCTGAAAGGCAATATGGGGTACTTTTCAAGGAACCTCTATGTTCTCTGAGGTGTACATTCAAACCTGTACTGTTGTCATAATCTTGTTGAGATGCTCACCCTTGTATATATATGTGTCTTTCGGACCTGAAAAATAAACCAGTTGTTAGTGAGAACTCGTGCTGTGTGACTCTTCTCTGTCTGTTGTGTGTGCCTACGCTGCCAGTTTGCTGAAAGAATACGAACTGCCAACTAGCCCACCTATCTATCCTGTTGTGAACAGTTGTTTATTGCTATGCTTGCCACCAAGAGGGTACAGTCGTTGCATTATATGTTGGTATTGGCATCAGGAGAATAAATATGTTGGGTTAACAGAAAAAAAAATCGAGGCACAGTCACAAAGTGATGATCAGTAGGCGAACTAGTGGAATCGTTCGGTGTTACTGTGAATCACCTGTTTTGTTGAGTCGTGAATTTCGTTTTGCCTTGATTATTACTGCTTTGTGGTATTGGATCTAGACTGAAGTTGGCAGAGACGAGGTCTGGGCACGTTGCCCTGGTGGTTGTTTCCAGTCATATGATATGCGTCGTAGAGCATATTGAGACGCCGTACACTGCACAAGCTAGTTGTTGTCGGTGATCATCAGCGTCATGGCGTATAGCATGTGGCGGTACCTTGCATGTGATGTTCCATGATGGCAGAAAGAGAATGTGTGGTCTGGAAAGTGCTTGTTCATCATTGATGCACAACGCCGCCAATGGATGAGCTTCGACTTCAAGGAGCTTTGCCACTAAATAAGGTTCAAAAGTAGTGTAGAATTACATTTGTGATGTTGGCAAAAGACAACGGTGAGCATTAATGAGCTAACTATAATGGTCTATGTTTGTGTGCAATTAAGTGGTAAAGACACAAACACTTTACATATTGTTCTTTTTTTTTTTTTTGTCTTGCAGTATGTAGCTAATGCCTTACCCATAACCGCTGGAAACTTCATTTTCTCCAACCAACGCGTCCTCTAGAAAGATGCCTGACGAATGGCTCGCGCTCCCGGCGGAGTTGGCCTGCCTTCAGTTTTGAGCAAGCGCCGCGCGGTGGCAGTCGCGACCGACACTATCGTCATGGCGACTGGTGGTACCAGCTAAGCGTTTTTCACCTGCGGCTTATAGGGGCGCGTCAGTCGAGAGTTGTTAGAGACCTGCAACTGTACACCACTATTTCGGAGGCTATGCAAAGTGTTGTGTTGTTGCACCGTCCGCCACAGGTGACGCTAGCGACATTCTAAAATGAAGGAGGGAAAGGGTGTGGCAGCTGTTTTCCTTTTCATGCGGCAGGCATCTAAATAGAGGAGGCGTTGCACCAACGCTGAAGGGTTAATTACGTGGAGATGTTTTATAGTGTCCGGTTGCGGCTCAGTTTCTGAGTGTGTTGATTTAATGGGACCCTGCAGGTTTTTTTGAAAGTGCAGCCGGCCATATGAGCGAACAAAATAGGGGTGCAGTTATCATTCACCATGTTGACAAGCATAGGAAACAATGCATTCAAGGAGCATGGCAGCTAACACAAACTCGATTTGTGAAGTAGCTGGTTGTTTACATTCAAGCCAAGTTGTCTCTGCTGGGATGCACTCCCTTTCAAAACATGCACTTACGAGGAAAACACTTCGTTAATATTTCGTAGATTTGTGTGTATCCATACAAATATATCTCTCGAATCGCCTTGCCTTCAAAATTTTGTGTCACTACCCGTTTGGGTGTTCTGTAAATTTGGAGTTGAGCAGGCTGTGTACTGTGTATGGCTGATAAATGGGGGGTCACTGGGTCGCAGAATTGGTTCCAAGTAAAAATCGGTGTCATATTAATGTTTGTTGGCATAAAATGGATTCGGCTGGTGAAAGTGGAGACCCTTTAGTCCTGCAGTGGACATTAATAGGCCAGTGATGATGCTAATGAGTTGTGGGACATTACTGAGGTAACATTAAAGGGTGTTGTGCCAATGTGGGCATTCGGGGACCAAGCACCTGGAACAAATGTAGGGTAGTGTAATCGCGGTATTTTCTTGTTAGATAAAGACTTCATTATGACATTCTCCCATATCAGCTTTTCTTCTTTCTTCAAAAGCATCACCAAAAGTGTAGCTTTCTTTTTTATCATTTTCCACAGGATGTGCCCACACACTGTTCAGTTGTATCCCAGTTGCCAGAAGTGTGTCAGTGTTAATGTACAATGTAATGTCCCCTTTCAGTGATTGGCGTCTTGTTTAGGTAATATAGGCTGACTTTATTTCTTTTTTGTTTTGCAATTACACTAAGTTCAGATTTTTGCGCGTAACACACTCGTCCCTCTTTGTGGCCATCAACATGAAAATCTTATTTTTTGTTAAATTGTTAATAAATCAGCAGTGTACATATGAAGGCATGCAATGTAATGCAAAAAAAAAATCTCGGCCTGGCTGCAGTGCCACTATCTAACTATATCAATTAGCAGTCTTTCAGTAGTACTGAATTAACAGATATGATGAAAGGGCTCTGAACAGAGGATGCCACATACCTAAAGTATCTGAAAGCAGGATCTTTAGGTGGTCCAGAATTTCATTACGGTTCTTGTGTCTAAAATGCTTCTGTGGGTTTTTAATTTCACTTGTGTTATGTACAAACTAACCTTCCACAGTACGAAAAATTGCTATTGCCTTGGGAGGAGGCTTGGCAGACCAAAAAAGTCGGCTGCAACGACGCCTTAAAGTTTTGACACCGACTACACCAGGAGAGCCTAAATTGTGACAGCAGCACCTGCTAGGGCCTGCGTAATCTTTCATCATTAAAAATAGACTACATCAAGTTCCTGCGGAGCCGTAGACTTGACATTGCAAGTTTCAGGAAGTAATGCCAAGCCATTGCGAGAAATGCAACGGAAAGAAAAGGTCGAGTTTCATGACGCCACAACATTCGGGTGCCATGGTTTGAGCATGAAATTAGTAAATTCAACTTCTAACTTGGTTTTCTCATTTAGTAATGAGCCTGTGATGTCAAAATTAACTATAATATAGTTCATTAACAATAGTATATCAGTCTAAACTGCAAATATTATTGTACAATATCCCAGAACTCTGCCTTTATCCTTTTGAATTGCTATTCTCTCCTCAGCTTTTGGTGTGCTCTAAGCGTGACCTGTTTTGTGTCCATGTTTTATCACGATGCAGAATCTTCCAATAACGTGCGGTCCTGACGGTGTGCCGCTCTCCAGAGAAGAGGAGAACTTTGTCCAAGAACTGCTCCTCGAAGAACAGATGGGCGGCCTCGAACTTGCAGAGTGAGTGTGGTACCCTTTGGCATTTAACAACGATTAAATTTTGGATGCAAGAACTTCCACCTTTCCTATCTATCTGTCTGAATGAATGCTCGTTTGAACATCTTGATGGGGCAGTACAAACAACGACAGCACCTGAACATAAACAATGCAAGGCAGCACGTGCTGTGATTATTTTGTGGTGCCGTAAGTTGTGCTTCCATATCAAGTGGCTCTACTAAGAATTTATTCAGACGAGCAGGAAATGTGCTTCTAAGAGCATGTGCCCACCAATAGTCTGTTAAAACACATTGTCAAGGGATGCTAGGCATTGGCGCAGAATTCTATTAACAGTAAATTTTAGTAATTTCATCCCATGTGCTAATGTTACCTCTTGGTGAAAGTAATGTAACAATGGTGAAACTAATGCTGAAGGGTGGTAAACTTTTATAATATTCTTACACTGGTACATAATTATTTTGAAATAACTTCAGTTTGCAGTTACTTTTAAAATGTTTTTAATGCAGACTTTCTATAATACAGGAGTATAGAGAAGTGTGGAGAGGCTGATCCACTTATAAGACATTCTGAAAGTATCGGGTTAAGTTAAAGCTCTGGGCGATCGGTTTCCTGCGTTTTTAGCGTAATACAAACAGTGAATCCATTCTTTTAATGGTGGCTCTGATATCTTTAGTCATCATTTTTAGGCACCCTTCTGTTTCCTGTTTTGTGAAACTTCTCTGTTGGCATTGTGTCAACACATGACAGAATAAGTTCGGCTTATGATTGTCTCGTATTTAATTAGCGGCATTGTAGCTTAGTCATTGTTCTTTCTTGTAAACAGTTCTTTCTTTTTCATTTCAGTGATGGGGGCATGTACTCCAATGATATGGGCAATGACGAAATGGATGACGAGGTTGCGGCAGCCTACGAAGAGTTTCTCAAGGAATCGGGACGATGAACATTTTTGTATCTTGACACGCAGGGGAGGGCTCTGGGGTGGGTTGGCCAACGAGTGGGAGGGAAATGCATCAAGGGCTGTTTCTCTTAAGTGTTCATATTGCGGCTTGTCGTTTTTTTTTATGCATTTTTTTACGGAGTGGGAAATGCAGTGTGTTACCGCCTTGCCCATATTTTTTTTTATTCCTTTTGTATGTTGGCAAGGCATTTTTTCTGTTACCTCAGTTTATTCAAGTTTTTTTTTTCCGTCACATACGTCACCTGCGCATCTTACATGTTACAATGCAATTCAGGCCATCGAATGTAATGCAACAAGCGCTTGTACATTCTCGACGCACAAAATGCTGCTTTTTGGACGACTATCCATTGAATAATAAACAGAGAAGACGTTTTGCAGGAACTGTCTGTTGTGTATCTGTTGGTCTCGATGGTATGTGCAGGTAAGTTGTGTGACAGAGGAATAGTGAGCATTGCCTCTAAGGCTTGGCGATAACTTTAGAAAGTTAAGGGATGCTTGTACCTGTACGGTTTGAAAAGATCACATTTTGTAGTGATACAGGTACAACTTCTTATCCTTTTGATGTCTGTGAAAGCGGATTATTTTTCCTTGAATGCGTGTTACTTGTCACTTGAAATCCCGCATCAAATGTTCGCTTGGGTGTTACTCCAATGCCATGATCTGGCTAAGAGTGGGAAAATGTGTGGCCAAGTTGGTAATCTTGTGCGAAATGAATATGAAAATGGCAAGGACTCTTTCTTGCGCGGTTTCGGCCCAGCTAACTGGAGCAATATAAGTCTGTGTCTGTCCCAAATGTGAAGACACTGCAGGCACCAGGTTTTGGTGAAGTGTTCAGCGTTTGTACTTTCACTAGACGCGGCAGCTCGCACTCCTTGTGGATGCCTGCTGGTTTGAGCGACAGGCTGCCGCGGTGGCCAAAATGGCTCGTCCGCACTCGCTCGATGTTATGGGCCAGTGCGTGGACGCACTAAACTGGACAGGGAGTGGCGTTCGACACTAGGCCGCGAGCGGCCGAAACCGAAATCCCGCATAGGGGGGCGGCTTGCGCTCTCAAAACCGGCGTGGCCAGTGTTCCCGAAGGGCGCAGTAAATACACGCGAATGCTGCAGCCAGCCGCGCTCGGGGGGCCCCGCCAGACAGGAACCTAGCGAGGGAGAAGCGAGCAGCAAAAAAAAAAGCGCACAAGCAAAAACGCAAACGCGCAGCAAGCAAACAAAAACGTGTCCGGCCCTCCCCTGCGCCCGCGAGATGAATTCGGCCCGCCGTGCGCATGCGCGCGGGACGCGAAAGCAGACTTAAAAAGCATCAATATGGCGGCCTGTTCAACGGCAGGTGTGAGAAGTGTCGGCCTGAACTCTGGAATAGCCATGAAGGACTGCTACTCGCAAATTAAAGGAGGCGAGAAAATATGCAGCGGAGATGCCAACTGCCCGTTCATCAACGGTAACGATTCGGGCCAGGGCGAGGAGCGATGGCTACAGTCGCTTCGCCAGTTCCACAGCGGGCGGAATCTCCAAATGGTTCATCTTTCGCCGTCAGTCACCGAAAAGGCGAGTGTTTTCTTCGCGTTTCCAGTTCGTACGCCGCGATCGGCTCGTGCCAAGGGGTCAGTTTGGGCTCCGGGCCCCGGGGCTTGCGTCTCGGCGGCGGCATTTCGCGATCGTAAACAAACGGGGAGGCTCGGCGCGGAGTCCCCGCTCAGTCGTCGTCCACAAAGCCAGCAGCACAGAGCTGCCGCATTTTCTTTGTTTTGCACCCCCTTCCTTTTCCCTCGACGTTATCTTGCGGTTTAGTGCGGCCTTCGCGACGACATGGAAGCCCGCGCAACGCCCGCGTTCATTTACCGCTGCTCCCGGCGAGAAAGCAAGCGTCTTCGAAACATGTCATGCGCAGCGTTGTGTTTGCTTCGCTGCCGACACCTTTTTGTTCCGTTGCTTCTTTCCTCCTGCCGCGCTCGTTATTTTCGTCGTGAATTCTTTTCACTGCGCGGCGCATGTGTGGGAAAGAGAGCGTCCGAGACAGCGCCCTGGGCGAGGAGGGAGAGCCGAGAGAGCGAGGAGCGCAGCGACGGCGGAGGGCGGCGGCAGCGGAGTGCTGCGCGCGAGTGTATCGATTTTTTTTGTACCGCATCCCGTGGTGGTATTTTTCCTGTGTGCGGCGCGCGCCTTTTTCTCCCGCCCCTTCTTTATTTTCTTCGATCGCCTGTTCGCTTTTACTTGACCCGAGCCGGCGCGTGCTGCAGTATGCCGCTTATTTACAAATAGAAAAAGACCCCGACGCGAGGCACTACTTTTTCTTTCCTGTGTGTGTGTGTTGTCGCGGAGTGCGCCGCCAGCGTGCAGCGCGGCCTGGCATGTCGTGGGTTCTTCCGCGGTGGGACGATGTGGGGGTGGGGGGTGGTACGTGTTTTTGGAAGATTTTGCTCGGTCAATCTCCGGGGCGCTTCGACGACATGCTGCCCCCGCGAATTTAAGAAAACCTCTTCGGGTCAGAGCTGTGGCACGCTACACGTCTGACAATCCAAGCGTGCGCGAATGGTGGGAATGACCTTAGGCGGAAACAAACGGGCCGTCCGCTCCCGGCTTGGAAAGGACCGTTGTCGTAGCAGCGCACGTTTCCTGGTTTAAGCTTTTGTTTATCAATAAACCCTGGCTCTCCGCGTCGATTGTGTGTTTCGACGAAACGCGCACGTCGATGTCACACACGTAGAGATAAGTTGGAAGCAGTGGTTAGGTGTGTTAGCGGGTCAGAAATATGGCAAGAATAAAGCAAGCATACAAAACGAGGCTTTGCGAAATGGCGGAAGTCGATGTGTGTCTGTGGCGGAAAAGACAGGCGCGCACACACGCTAAAAAAGAAGCACTTGCTGTCGGTATCCAAACCAGGCGCGCGCTATGTCCTTGAAGTGGCTAACGCAGTTGCGCTCCTTGCAACGTTTCACAGGCAGGGAGGTTTGTTTTGAGTCTGCATTGCGTGGGCGATAAGCGTTACGGCTGCACCAGTGCTGTCGCCGCTTTGAAAACTGGCTCCCGGTTATCGACTCTGCCTCGTTATCTGTTTCCACTTTCTCGAGTGTCCTGTAGCCGCGCTACTGGGACCCGCGTAATAAAAATAGCGCCCTGGCAACCAACTTCAGCCTATTATACATCAGCTCTGAATGCAATACAACGTGCCGTTTTCCTGATACGCGGCGACATGTGCCACCTAGTGCAGGCTACAAAACCTTCGGCTGCGAGTCAACACCTTGCATGCCGTTTCCATTGTGACATTCATGTGCACGGTTTTACAATTTTGGACAAGATGCCACCCAGTGCAACAATCAGACCTCATGAGTAGGCGGCGCTAGTGCAGAAATGCAGCCTTATATTAACTTTATGTGCAGTCTTGCCAATATGTAGGGCTAAAGTTTTCATTCAGCTGTTTCGTATTTCAGTACCGCCAGCAAATTCATTTTCTTCAACGTTAACCTCTTGTTCTTGTGTGCAATTTATATTTTGCATCCATGCATCTGTCTCACAGTTGGCAATGCACCCGTAGGGCTTTTGGTCTTCCGACAAATTAATCCAACAAAAACAAAACTTGCCTAGCCGAGTTTGTATAAGAAGCCACCGTCATTGCTGCTACCATTCGCAGTGTCAACGTCTCAGCATTGTACAGTCAGTTTGTGTATAACAAACATCTGAACTGAGCTAGTTAACGTAACTAATGCAGCAGCGCATATTTTGGCAGGCTGTGCAACCATTCGGATGGGCTGTCCTCAACAAAAAAAACCAAAATTTGTGAACACAGCATTGGAAATTTTCTGCAAAAGCATTGACGTGCCTCTCTTGTTTAGGTGTTGGTCTTGTATGTGCTCACTGCCTCTGATTATTTGGGGAAAATATACAAAGCTTGGTATTCTTTATGATTTTACAAATATTTTGTCAGTAGCTGTGAGAAACTTGTGCTTGCAAACAAACTTTGCTCTTCTAACTTTACACTAGAAGCTGACTTTTTTAAAATCGTGAAACAGTGCCTGTGGTACATTTACCTTTAGTAAGTTTATAACAACACATTCTCGCGTCGGGAGGCTTTAACAGCAGCTAAATACAAAATGTATTGCTGTACTCTAAGAACAATTTTTTGCTTGTCAGTAATAAATAGCTTGTAGTGGAAAGTAGAAGGCAGAGTGATGCTGCTACATCGAATGACAAAGACCAACTGCATTATTCCATGGCTGGCGCGTGCGGCCTCGCGCCTGCATGGACTTCGTTCTTGTCGCTGAGTCGGCATGCTAGCACGCCACAGGGCCTCCCGCCGTAAAAAAAGGAATTGTATTCAATATATGTCCATGTGACAGTTCTGGTCCGGAAGGTGGACTGGCGAACAGGCTCTCAATCCTCTTCAGGAGGTGGGGGCTGCGAATGGTGCAGAGGGCGGATCAACATCCTGCGTGAACAGCTCGAACCTGTGCACACGAGACGTGGAGGTGCAAGCGCATGCCCTTCGCCGTGAACCCAGTGTCGCCCAGCATGAGATTGTTTTTTTCCTCTCGCCGGCTGGTGGTCTGTGAAATTGGTGGTGTATACGAAAGCGACATGGTGTTCACGGTTCTGTTTCAGTCGCACACCACTTGCAAATCGAACAGAACCGCTCAGGACAGAGATGCGGCGATGCAAGCAGCTGCCATCTTCTATTGACAATCATCAGCATTGAAGCGCGGCAGTATCAGCGCTGGGACAGGAAAGTAGAGTGGGAGTGCAGCACACATGCAGCAGGAGCCGTCATCTGTTGACTGGAGTGCGCGCGCTGCGTGCATCGAGAACACTTAAGTGGCATGGCGGCATCTGTGGACAGAGCTGTCCCCTCACTTGACGAAGGGGGATCAGCAGATTCAGCAAATGCTTGTACGGCCACTGGCACATGACGGTGTTGGTGCTACTTCGCAGGGTAGTGCTGTTACATGGACGCTGGCATCGGTGATGGCAGGTGTAGTGAACAAAGCTGCGGGCTGGAGGCGACATTCTTTTGTGGCACAGGATGTGCACGGCGTCATCTTTTGAGCCGCGTCAAAAGCGATGGCTGCACGGTCACCTGCGAACTGGCTGATGCCGCAGCGCAAAAACCTGGTGGTGTCGTTCGACTTGAGTTGGCTTGTTCGGGCAGTGAGACTGTGGAAGCCTGAGGTTCGAAACTAAGGTTTAGCTCGGCAGGGAGCAAGTGATGTGGCACTCTTGGTTGCGGTAGCGCTCGTGCGAAATCTCGAAGGTGGTCGTATGCCTGGGGCCCAGGAGGAGGCAGGAGTATCGCAGAGCAGGGGGAGCATGGCTACCGTGATGACGTACCTTTCCTGCTGCGAGACTATGTTTTGCGCTGGTAGAAACCAGCTTCCATCTTGAGGAGCCACTGGTATTTCTGGTCAAAATTCAAAAAATTTCGGTGGTAAAACGATGCAGGGTGTGCTCATTTTATCTGGTCGTCAAGCCATGGGTAAGGGCGTTTCAGAGATGGGTTGGCTTGGAGGAAGTGTCCGGTGGAATCTTCTGGAATGTTATTCTCTGGTCTGGAGTCACCTCTGTAGCGGAAGGTAGAAGGGAGAATGATACTGCTACATCGAATAACAAAAACTAACCGTTTTATTCTGAGGCTGGCGCGTTCCGTCTCGCGGCTGCATGGACTTCGTTGTCGTCGCTGAGTCGGCACGTCAGCACGCGGCAAGCTGGTCCCACTTTGCTGCTGCCTGTGGGCTGCATTCATGGGTCATATAGAGTCGACAAATATCTCTCACCAAGCATGTTTTGCAAGAAAGAATTCTCAAGCGTGGGGTACTTCCACTTAGTGTCATACAAGAATTAACCAGTCTTAGGTCATCGGAGGTGAGGATGTAAGCACATTGGTCTCCACTGTATCTAGCCGAGCATAGGGATCAGAGGGCAAAGGAATTCGCTCAGGCACTACTAACAACATTCAGCTCATCATATGTTAAAGCTCCTGTTGGTCCTGTGTACCTATTAATGAGAAGTGACAGACAATGGTACAATATTGTGTCAAACAAAGAAAGCAAGCCCTTAAACTTAACCTTCTTTTCTCATTTCATAGTGAGGGTCTCATTCTGGCAGACTTGATGGCGTCAGGTAGTATGCAAGGGATTATTAGCTAATAAATCACGTGCTACGTGTCGCGCACATGCAAAAAACGTGTTCCACACTCACTGTAATGGTTTTTGGCTACACTGACTGACGCTCCCATGTTTAAGTGCACATATATATCTTATAAAATGGATGGAGGTATGATTGCCATTGTAGCTCTGCTGGCAGAGCATCGGACGCAATAATCAAAGGTTGCCAGTTCGCTCTCTGCTGGCGGCAAGTTATATTTTTGTCCAGTTTTCTTTCTTCATATTAACATTACAGTTGCTACTAATAATATCCTTTATACTTTCCTTGGCATCACATTGTCTGTAGGTTCTGTTTAGTATTGCGTCTCACAAAGAAACGAGCCCTTAAATTCACACTTCTTATGTTGTAGTCTTCCATGAACCCAAGCATTTTTGGTCATCGATTCTAAAGTTTGCAAGTTGTCAGTCATGCAAAGAGAATGCTGCTTGTTCAGTAACACATTTTGAGCTGCTTGATTGTTTATTGTAAGGCAGAAACAGTGCTCACTTTAGGAAGACAAATAAAAGAAACAGTGCCTATGCCTTGCTAATTTTGTCTCTTTTTCTTCAATGTGTTCTGCTTTTTTTATATAGTTTGTTAATGTGAGCACCTTCAAATAGCAAGCCCTCATACCAGCTTAGTGGCTGCCAAGGTTTTGTCAATTTAAAGTGAAAGCGAATGTGTTCATTTTTTACATATTGATTGTGAAGCGGGTTCGACAAAAACAAAACAGTCAACGCCTGAGCTCTGCGTAAGCACAAGTTATATATACTAGTAACACAGTCAATGTCAAAAGTTTCAAATTCTACATGCGTTTCAATTTCAAAAGTTTCAAATTCAACTGCACACATAATCATTGACTTCAGGCAATGGTCTGTGGGACTCGTGGCAAACCATGTGTCGACATAAATACACCTCTTACTGAAAAAAATACACAAATAAATAAAAAGCTCATGCTTCAAAAACATTCTGATGTCTCTGGGTCACTCCTTTGCAGGATATCATTGATTTCTTCCAACAAACCGGGACCCTGGTGAAGAAGGTAGAAATAAACAGGAGGACGCACATAGGTGAGGAATGGTTTTTTTTCTTCCATGTGTTTTAATTTTTGGCAGGTGTATTTGCATGCTCAAGCTGGATTTTCGTGCTGTTCATGGCCATGTCATGGATTCTCATATAACGCCACAATCTTTCCAAATCCAGCCCACATTCTAAGTAATCTCACTGGATTATCTGTTTATCAGTAATGTTGCCTTAGATGTGCTTTCGTGCTATGCCTTCACAGTTTTTAAAACACTCGCCGTGGGAAGTAATCTCACTGGATTGTCTGTTTATCAGTAATGTTGCCTTAGATGTGCTTTCGTGCTATGCCTTCACAGTTTTTAAAACACTCGCCGGGGGAATAACGATGTAGTGTTAGTAGACACTTTGAATTTTCAGTAGCTTGTTACATTGCATTAAATATTTCATCAAAAGGAAGCTTAGGTGGTGCATTGTTGCTTGCTACATGGTCTACTGAGCTGTTTTAATTATGGAGTAATTAAATCATGTGGTGCAGTGTTGTTTGTTACATGCTCTATTAGCCATTTTAATTACAATTATGGGGTGCAGTATTGCTTGATATGTGTTCTATCAGCCATTTTAATTGTGTGGTAATTAAATCATGTGGTGCAGTGTTGTTTGCCTCATGGTCTGTTGAGCCGTTGGAATTAAAAATTAAATCAAGTCGTACAGCGTTGCTTGCTACATGTTCTACTGAGCCACTTTAATTACGGTGTAATCAAATCGTGCAATCCAGCGTTGCTTCCCAGTCTCAGACACGAGTTTTGGAGTTGTTCCAAGAAATCTCCATCTTATGGGTTGCAACACAGCACGCTTCGTCTTAACGTCTGCGAGTGCACCCGTTGCCTGGCATTCTCTCGCAGAAAACAATGGGTAGCAGCCGTCGTCGTGTGAGTTGTCAAACGGGAACAGTTCTTATCTGTAGAGCAGGTGGTGGGGGCACATTGTGTAGCGCAGTTCAATATGCTGCTAAAGATGGCTTCTGCGCTTAATGTCACACTAGCGCCGTGTAAACAAAGTTGTAGACGGGGGTAAATGCACTTGGAAATAGATATTTGAATGCTAAATGCGGCGTTGCAGCTGGTCGCCCTCGTATTTTTAAAATATTTTTTAACCTTTTCTTTTTGCTTAGGTAAGATATTCAGTTTGTTTGACTGGCTCTTTTTTTGGTCTGGTGTATCTCCCTTGGCGCATAATCACTCCGAAAAAAAGAATTGTGATGAAAGAGAAAAACTTGTCATTAGTGTTCATGTAGCGTGGAGGATGCAAAGAAAACGTGCACGGGTTTCTCAGGTGTCGACCTTTTCATTAGAAGTTGAAACTAAAAGAAAGATTTTCGAGAAGTGTGCAGGCATATTTTTTGAGAATCTTGTTCAGTGTGCTCCGGTGAACGAGACTTCATTATTTGATAAGACCCATTTTTTTTTTTATAATTCTGCGTAGATGATTTGGTCGCCAGAATTCTTGCAATCTTACAGCCCAAAATGCAGCATTGCAAAATGTAGGCATTTCAGGCTCATTCATTTTTCTCTTTGGGATCCTGCAGTGGTGTTGGTGTTTGCTATGAGTGCTATGCGAAGTTGCAGAAAAAATTATAACGAAGCTCGTGTCATTACACAAAATTTCTTGTAAGAAGTTAATGAGTAGCATATTATTTATTTTGCAATCTCCATGTCCTGTGCTGTCAATAATGATGCCACCGCACTTGCTCCCCTCTGAAGTCATGATTGTAAGCTTCTGTTTCTCCAAGGCCCTTCAAGAGCACCATAAGAGGCTGGACTAATGCAGTTAAATTTGATTTCAGTCATACATTGCATTTTTTTTTTTTTGTTGTTGTTAATGTGTCATAATGGTGCCGGGAGACTTCGAGGTACAATTTCATATTTTAAACAGACCACGATCTGAAGTTCACTCCACCGCTCTTCAAGAAAGACCTGCTTGCTCCAGATGTAACCAGCGGATACAATTGCAGTAGCATTCATGCAGTTTTCTGGCTGGAATATCTCCTTAAACCATTTTTTATCCTGGCACTACTCTATCTGACAATCCTTAACATAAACATAGGAGTCTAATTTGCGATATGCAAATGAAATATGTAACAAATATGCAATAAAAATAGTTATGAAAATTGATTTGGCATTTGGTTTACTGGTACCCAAGCCTACTAGTGAGACAGGAGAGGAGCGTTGGTCTTTCATGGAGCACGAAAAGTTGCGACCATACGCATTGAGAGCTCAGTGAAATTGGTTTGATGTTGTTTGTTGAGGTGTAATTGGCTTTTTTATTGGGACTGACACTTGCTTAGCATGCAAAATTATGGTATTTAAATTTTTCTCTGTAGCTGAGCTTTGTAATGGGAACTGCAAAGCTTATGGCCCAGGTTAACTTACAGCATGTGCCACAACTGAGACACGAACAAGCAAGATCTGTTCCACTCTGGAGCTTTACCCCTACTGCATTTCTTTAAAAAGGAAGAAATGGGTCGTCAGCTAGCATGCACTGTTCTGCTTCAGATGGAGCTTGTTTCGGGCATAATGATTGATCTTGAATCAAGACAGCGGTCATGATATCTTCCCTAGGAAAAAGAGATGCCTATACTCCTTGTTGTTCATTGTTTATGGACACCGCATACTTCATATCAATCTGGTCAAGCTTGACAAAACACAAGACACAGCAGAAGCATTCATTGGAGCTTCCCCATTTGCTAAACAAACCTTTCCAAGCAAGTTTAAGGCACCACACTGCGTTTGGTAAATTGTTTGCTCTGTGCGACAAACTAGCCTTAATTTCAAAACAGAAAACAAAAAAATGGGTTCTGCTGTAAAGAGGGTTCCATCTTTCAGTAGCAATTTTTGCAAATGGTAATATGTTACAATTTACGTACGCTCCCTCTTAGACGATACGGATATGAACAAGCTGGTATATGGAGCCATTTTTGCCTGCCCTTGAGTAACATGCGGGTTTAATGGGTCTTTATCCTCCGACTGTAAAGTACACGTTTATGTGTTCTTAGAGCCAGCAAAGCTAGAGGGCATTCGGACTGACGCAATGGCGAGTGCGGTATCTCTTTGTAACAAGTGTTTTTCAACCAGCTTCCCGTGTAGCATATTTGTTTGTCCAGCTAATGATCAGGCAGTGCGCCTGGCTGTGCAAAAAGCCCAGTTTAGCCCAATAAAGCTTGGTAATATCTATTGCAACCAGACTGTATTTCATCCCGTGGAACAGTGAGCCCGAAAGAACATTTACAAAACATGGTAATGAGCCAGTTGGCAACCTGTGCTACATTCCTGTTTGTCCAGCCATTAATCGCAGTACGTGAATGTGCATGGGCATGCAGATGCGCCCATTAAGAGCCTAAGCATAGCAGTGCCATTAGTTTGCCGCAATACCGGTAGACCGTATTTTTTCGGACAGAACAGCTGGACTAGATATGTGGGGACGGCTGCAGTCAACATTGTCGAGCCAGTTGACCGTATATCGCGTGCCTGACCGCGGTGTGTGCGTGCACGCAGCGCGCATGAAAGTGGACAGCTCGTACGAGTTCGACCCGCTGATCCGGCCTTGGAACTTCCCGCGCACCCTTCTGGGCACGGACGCCAAGCTGAAGATGGGCAGCAGCGACAGCTTCCTGTGCGTGACCAACCTGCCCACCAACTGGACGGTGAAGCAGTTCCAGGAGCTGTGCGAGAAGTTTGGGCCTGTGGTGCGCTGCTTCCTCATCTACCATCACGCCACGGACGAGAGCCTGGGCTTCGGCCTGGTCGAGTACTGCAGCCGCGCCGTCGCCTGCCAGGCCAAGAACCTGCTGCACAAGAAGCAGGTGGCCCAGGGGGAGATCCACTGCGACTGGCTCGAGCACAACCTGGTCAACTATGCGGACCTGTATCCGCGCTGCCTGTACGTGGGCAACCTGCCCACCACTTTCTGCGACATCTACGCCTTCAGGCAGCTCTTCACGACCGTGGCCAGCCCCACCTACTGCCAGCTGTCCATCGTAAACGGCGTACCACAAGGCTTCGGCGTAGTGGAATTCCGTCTGCACGAGGACGCTCGCAAGACCAAGGAGCTGCTCCACGGCCACTGCCTCAACGGCAACCGCCTCAACATTCTCTTCACCTCCCCTGGCGTCAGCGCCTACAAGCTCTACAATCGCATTATCGAAGAACAGGTACGGTTTAAACTCTGCGTAACACATAACCCTGTGTTACGAAGTTTCCAATGTAACGAAGAAATTTCCATTCCCTGGCTGGGTATCCAGGAGATAGGGTTCAGTATGGCATGAACCCAAATGAATGAAAGTAGCGCAGCACGAAACCCAATTTAACAGTTTTTACTGAAATAAATTAGTAAAAAGGCAGTAATTTTTATTCAGATTATTCTTGTCATTTTGACGCATACGGTGTTTTTTATAGGTGTGCAATTGATGCTAATGCATCTAGCCGGCCTATCCATCGCCTTAGTAGCGTTGACGTGGGTGGCTTGATGTCTGGGCCGACCTTACAGAACTTTTGTGCGCATAGCCATTGTTTGTTGGCAAATACAGTTCTATGGTAGCATTTGGGTGTCACTACATTAAAACATTTTATTTCTTAACACAGATAAATTCCTTGTTGATTTTACATTCTTCAGTATTCAGCTGAATAACTCAAGCATAGTCAGGCTTTCATTAAATTGAGTTTCAAAGTGTACTGTGCTCTCTCGTAGACAAGTAAGTTTTTCTATTTTTTGAAATACAGTAACTGGCTGATGGGCTGCTCAGTATGCTGATGAATTTGAAGGTGCCACACTGCCAAGATGTGTCCTCAGAGAATATGTTTGCTAGTTCACCCTGCGATACTGCCGCAAAGTGTTTCTGAACCATATAGTAAGAGTTTCACTGTGATATGTAGAAAGATGCCAAGTTCATACATCTATTGCTGGGTCTGCTCATCGTTGTAAGAAGACTCCATCATAAGTTAAAAAAAAATTCTTCTTTGTTCACTTTACAAATAGCGTCTTGTTTGTGAAGTTGCCCAGCTAGCAAAAAGCAGGCATACCTCATGCTTTATTTCTGTTAAATTTTCCATAGAATTTTGTGTCTGCTAATAGGACGAGTGTTTTCCTATGCAGGCTAAGAAGCTGGAAAAGAACAATGGTATCATTCAGACGCCTCAACTCTCGCCCGCTCTGCTTGCCCAATTCTCGGTCGTGCAGAACTCAAAGGGTAAGTTTCTTGAACTCGTGTGGGGTCGAAACGCCTGCCATTTGGTTTTAAAAATTTTAACACCACTTAGTTGACTTAGTGGGGCTTGATTTTGTTCTTATTCATTTTCACCTTTTCTGTGCCATTGTTGTCACCATGATTGACAGGATGTGTTGATGGGCAGAACGGAAAATGAAATGGATTGCTACAAAATACCTTAGTCTAGAGCAGGATAAGGAATCATGCATAATTGACTGGGCTGAGAAAAATGCCCAACAGCAGGGTATGTTTGCCTGCTCTGTACATTGCACAATGTTTTTCTCATCCTCATGTTTCAAGCGATTGAGTATTCAGGTACTTTGTCGAATCTGTCCACGTATATCGCGTGCCTGACCGAAACTACCTAAAATAGTGGATGGCATTTTGTGCAAAAAAAAAAAAAAGTACAAGAAGGAAGAGAGCACAGACAGGTGCAGACTAACAACTGAAGTTTATTTTAAGAAAAACACACTCATAAAGAGGAGGCAAGGACAAGTGGTCATCCAGAATTGAATACCAACATGCCCAACGCTCGGTTCTTCTATACCTGAGATGGCTGAGTCAGTGGCTTTTGACAGTATGAGAAAGTAACATTATCAAGCACAGCAAGAAAAATATAGGTATGATTGTTTCACGCTGAACCATGTGTTTCTGCAGAAGGGTTTTTTTTTTTTTTGCGATCTTTTATTGTAATTGCTCTATACCGCCACAGTAAGCGAGCATCAGTGTACTCCTGAATGCCTTGCATGTATGTATAATGTGTAAGAACAGTATGCTTCCTGTGTAACATAAACCCATGATAAATAGAAGAAACGTTCGAGGAATACTTAGTGTTGTATTTAGTGAGCAGCTGAATGCTGTCACGTTCTAACTTGTTTTCGTGCCCTCTTTTGTGACATTCCAGTGGCAAAGACGTTCCAGAAAGCCATCAACCTCAAGGGCAAAGGGAAGAACGCGTCTCAAGTGAGTGCCTTTTTTTTTTTCTTGCCTCTAGATAAGTCTTCTGGACGCTGCACTGGAGCTAGTTATTATGCACCTCTTAGCAACTGGCAGTGTGTGTGATTGCATTATTGCCCACCCAGTGTTTCTGCATTTGGGAACTAAACTGTTTGAGTAGCAAAGTGTTTTTGAAAATAGTATTCTAAGTATATCATTATGAGTGATGGAATAGAATGTTGTAGGCATAATGTTGAGAGGTTTGGAGGCAGCACCATAGAGACGTGAGCTTTTGCTGGGGGGGGGGGGAGGGGGGATAAAATGGAACTTGGGTTGCGTGGGTCGCATAATAGTGCAGGGAGCATTTCTTGTGCTCTTTGAGATCGCGACAGTCGTTTAAGATCTTGAAAAGCGGTAATTCACCAACTTGTTACTGCAAGGCTGCATCGAAGACATAGATGGGACGTTGCTTGCAAAGTGTTTGTCTCCGCCGTGTTGAATGAGCACGCCAGTCGCCGCACACGTGCACGGTCCACAGTGAAGCAGAGGTGAGAAACGCACGTACTGTGTACGGCAAGAAGCCTGGCAGGAATGGCCGTAGCTGAGTTGGCAGCGCGGTGCATGCAACTAGACAGGGATAATAGGCTCTACGTGGCCACACTGCGCTTCAGTGAAGTGAGGCCACTTTATTGCAAAGGCAGTTTATATCACACGTGATCATCAGTGGGCATTGCTTCAAGAAGCAAATAGGCTTTTCTTGTCACTGGAGGGGCTGTCAGCACTTTTGACTAAAATATAAAAAAAGAAGGCTTGGTGGCTAATTAATGCATGTTTTAATGGCGAGTCCGTATGCAACGAACTAATGATTTAACGACCGCTTTCTCGGCACCTTCGAGTTTGGTATAAATGGGTTAGACTGTGCAGAATAGCTACCTGTGTTGGTTGTTAACCGTATCCTTGATACCTTGCAGTAAATTACAAGCAATGGTTAATTTTGATGACTGATTTATTCCGCAGGTGAAATGAGCTGAAGTTGCGGGCTCTGTGAATTTGTAACACGCCGCTTGTTTGCTTCGCAGGTTTCGACGACTGCGGCGAGTAACCACGCACTCATTGCACTTCAGAACTTCTTCAACCAGCAGATTTGCACCCAACAGGCCCTGGTAGGTGGCACGGCAATAGTTTTTCTTTGTCTACTCTTTGGTTTGCTCAGTAAGACTGGAGTAAGACAGGATTCTCCTTCTGTAGTGAGCGCATTCGTACTGCTCGGAAAGGAAGTAGCTATGCCTGAGGTGTTGCCAAAGCCTCTGCATTATTAGTTATGCAGTGGCAAGAACCTGTTATGTCATGCAGTTGATTACCAGTCCTTCTGTGTCCTTCGCTTGTTTGTTTGCTGTTCAGCTTCAAAAATAGTGTGTGAGATTAAAGGGGTCCCAAAACACTTTCCATGTAATCATCGAATGATCTTTGTATTGAGATTAATTGCCTCCAAATTGTTTGCCACAGCAATTTTTCGAATACGTCTAGAATGAGTAGAGTTGATGGAATTCATTGGATGCTTTAAGCACTTTCGCTTTTTTTTTTTCATCCTGGCGAGTGTACTGAATCTACCCTGGAGGAGATGACAAAGGGTCAAAAAGTTATGTCAGCACGCATCATGAAACGTATTTGCTCACTCCTAATGTGACAACCATGCACGTTGGTGTCGCTACTGCGTGATTTTAGCACATATAGAGTGCTGCGCCAGCACATGCTGGAACCCTGTGTCATGAAATAGATCCGATCCAAAATAATTTTATCAAAGTATGATAGAAATTGTTCTCTGTTCTTTTTATAAATGATGTATACCCTGATTGCTGCTCCATATACACGAAGTCTATGGCCATTGGCTAACTTAAGCATTGCGAGCTCCACAGTTAGTGTGGCAGTCACGCGCCTGTGGGCTTACTCGCAAGCACACTGAAAGTAAGTTGCACGTTTTAAGAAAGAAAAGAATGGGTTCAAGGTCATGACACGAACTTACGAAGGGACGCATTTACTTGCCCCCTTGTCATGCCCCTCATTGTGTAGATCTCAACGTGCCAGCTGGAAGGAGAAAGAGCTTGAAGCCTACGATAAGTCTATGCATATGTGTCCGTACTTGACAGATTCTAAAAAACTTTGCGTTATGTGATTTGTGTAGTGTCATGTGCTAATAGGGCAACTGTTTTTATTATCACCGAGAAAGGTGTTGCAGGGCCTCTCTAAAAGCGCGTTCACACTTGGCCTAGAAGGGAGCAAAAGCGGCAAAACTCACCAGGAATTCACTCGCTTCGCCACCTAAGCGGCTCGAAAACCTCGCCGAACCAAAAAATCAGCTCGAGACCGATTTTCCCGTCACGCGAAGCCAGATCCGCCTTCCGCTTCACAGCTTTGGCTGCACTAGGCCCAAAACACATGGTGCAGACAGTGCAGCTGGAGAGAGTGAGCATGCCTCAACGCGTCCTACTTTTGTGTACAGCCGGTTGAATCCACTGCTGGTGCATTTACTCGTGTCATTCCTGCTGGCTCATCTCCCTAACAACATTTAAAAAGGTGCCAGCTGTTTCTTTTCAGACTTTTGCGTGAATAACTAGAATTTGGTATGAACTTTAGTTCTCAGAAAGCAGGTGAAATCTAATTAATTGTCAAGTTATGAAGCATGGAAACTTGCCCAAGTTGATAGGACATAGCTGAATATACAAACAGCGCAACTTAACTGTAGTTACACTACAGAAGCAATTCTCATTTCCTTGCTTCTGTAGTTACACTGTAACTACTTTTAAGTTGCTTTATATTCAGTAATTGTCAAGGTAGCGGCGGCAAGATGGGGCAGAGCGAATGTGAACATCTTCGATGTGCGCAGTCGTGGTTTTCTGGCCAGTCTGGCGTTTTCGTTGTTTTCTTGACTTCTTAAGTGTGAACGGGCCCTAAGAGTGACCTTGCTCAAGTCGCAATTACCTTTCATTTGCTTTTGGCTATTCACCTGGGTGGAAAAAAAAAAGGTGCAATCGCTGACAGGCTGTACTTGGTTTCGTACATTTGATGCAGTGCTGTGGAAACTACTGTATTTACTCCTGAAATTCTCGCATTTGCATAATTCTTACACCGCCCACATTGCTCTACAAGAATAAGATGTTTTTTTTTGCTCTACCGGAACTAATCGTGGAGGCCATGGTATGAGAATAAGACTCTGAGAGATCTAAAACAACCTGTTTACATTTGTATAAATAATGATGTTTGGTAATTTCTAAGGTGCAAAGCATTTTTATTCATTACTCAGGCTAAAAAAATTTTTTTAAATCGCATTATGGGTGGTAAATTAGTGAACTAGTATTTCTTGGAGCAAATGCACCTACTGCAAGATGGCTCCCTGGCTTCAATAATGTTGCACCAGATGTACGAAACTGAGTATAACTGTCAGGTTTCTCATCTCATCATGTGCCTTCATTACCTGGAAACGTCATCAATCTCATGTTGACACAAGACACTTCGGCAGAAAAAATGTCCATGTAACTCGTCTAGCTTCAACCTGTGAGGCATTGGCCTGAGTGGGCTCATTGACATTTTACTCATCTCAACATTCATAACTCTGCTCTGTTGCTTCACTGCTTCTGCTTCTTTTGCAGTACATGCACACAAAGCGGGCATTTTGCCGACCTCAACATACATAAACTTGCTCCATTGCTTCACTGCTCTTGCTTCTTGTGCAGTGCATGCACTCAAAGCTCCGTTGTGCTTCACTCACCTCAATATTGTAGTGTACATCTATTCCAAAAGAGTGCGGCCACAAGCGTGGGTTCAGTCTTTGTAAGCAACAGGGCCCATCGCCTCACGTGACTAATGCCCCTGCACATGCGCGTTCGCTACAGCCAACAGAGCGTGGCAAACAAAAGCAAGCACACAGTACTGCTCTCAAGCAATTCGCAACGTTTTATTGCCTGCAGCAATGCCAAAAACGCTGTGCAGCACCCGTTGCAAAAGGTGGCAGGAAAGCAAACGAGGCTTATCCACGCCACGGGTAAAAAGTACAACTCAAAGGGTGCCGCAAGCACGTTTTCGTGGGCAAAAGGATTCGCTGTGACACGCCGCTGAGGAAAATGGGCCCTAGCGACTATGCTGCTCGCTTTCACGATCAAGGACAACAGTGCCCAATTGCTCAAGCGAGGGCAAACTCCACTCGCGTTGGCTTTGAGAGGTACTTGTCAGCATAGTACGACCATGCTCGAACACACTGTACAGCTCTTTGGCCTAGCGTTCAGAAGGGGCAACTGAAGGTAATCGTATGCTGCGGGCACAAGGCATCGTTGACGATTCCAAGCAAGCTCCAAACAAAGGGGCCGATGGATGGGGAAGAAATGCATGCTCACCCTTCGTTGACAAGAAAGGATCTCCGACTCCTGACGCGCGCGAAACATTCCGGGAGACTGGAGCGCAGCGCCACAGTCGACATCCGGGTGAGAAAGGTCAATGTCACTTCCGCTCCCCTAGTGCAGACAGACCGCAGAGAAAGGAAAAGTCATGTTAGGACACCAGAACGGCAGAAATAGGCGGAAAAGCCCGCACATTGGCGGCAGGGTAGCCTCAATTCCCACAACATCGTAACTCTGCTCCATTGCATCACCGCTTTTGCTTTTTGTGCAGTTCATGCATGCAAAGGTCCTCGGCATTTTACTCGCCTCATCATTCATAACTCTGCTCCACTGCTTCTTTCTGTGCAAGACATGTGCACCATCGCACCTTGACTCTTCAAATCATCATGTGCTTGATCTGTTTCCTCATATCGTCAAATCTGTGAACCTTTCGTTTTTGTCCACCTCTTCGCTCAGATGTTGTCATTCCTTAGTGCCTCTAACACTTCATTTCCGCGTGCCGTCTTTCACGCCGCTTTGCAACCAGGATTGCATGCTCGCCAGCCAACTCGACATTTCCTCTCTGCCACAGGATTCCATTCCGCCTTAACAACTGAATGGAACGCGCATTTGAGAGAGAAAGAGCAGCTTTAAAAGTGAGCGTCAACGCCACAGCCCCATGCTGTGTTGATGCAGGGCCAGATGGCGCTTGGCCTGCCGGCGCCCCCGTCCGAGGCCGGTCAGTACGAGGGCCAGCAGCCCGGCTCGGCCGCCTCGAGCAGCAGCAGTGGCAGCGGGGAGGAGAAGGCCAAGCAGGCGGCGGAAGACGGCGGCTCGCCCGAGGAGCGCCACAAGCGCAAGGGCGAGCCCGTCTACCAGCCCCAGTGTCCACTTAATTATTCCACCATGGATAATTCTAGTAAGCACCCCAGCTGGGCCTTCGAGGCGGGCGCCTGCCAGCAGCAGCAGCGCCAGGGAACATACCCGCCCCAGCCGCAGCAGCAGCAGCAGCAACAGCAGCAGCAGGTGGGTGGAACGCGCCAAGCCGGTTGCGTCATTCGTTGTGGAGCTGGTGCAAAAAGCACGACAAGTTGACATTTTTATGTAGCGCTTCCTGATGATAATTATTCAGGTGCCTGAACCTAAATGCAACTTGCTTCTTCAGTGTACTCTAGAATGGAAAGCTAGTTGTTCCAGGGTGCTCATATACACAGAATTTCATGATATAATGTGCACCAAGATGGAAATTTCTGCTGGTCCAAAGGGCTTCAAAATGAAAATCTTGCTCTTGACATTGCTTTAAGTCAAAAGTCCTTGTCAGCATCACTGCTTGTAGACCTTGTGTAAGAAACTGACGACACATTAAAGTGGTTGTTTTAGAATGCTGTGACCATGTTTGAAAAGGGTGAATTCAACAGCTTTTAAAGCCCGACAACGAGAAGAACTAGGTGTACAAGTCATGTTCCTCCTTCCTGATCATGTATCGGCCCACTCATTTCACTAGTTACATGCTTAGTTGCTCTGTTGCATCGATTTTCAAGAGCTTTTCAAGAACCTAAATGTCTAAGTTCCATGAGTTAGTCACCCACTGACTGCCAACAAACTAGGACAGAGTGACCCCCGCCGCGGTATTCTAGTGGCTAAGGTACTCTGCTGCTGAACCGCAGATCACGAAATCGAATCTTGGCTGTGGCGGCTGTATTTCCAATGGAGGCGGAAACGCTGTCGGCCCGTGTGCTCAAATTTGGGTGCACGTTACAGAATTCCAGGTGGTCGAAATTTCCGGAGCCCTCCACTACAGCGTCTCTCATAATCATATCATAGTTTTTGAACGTTAAACCCCACATATCAGTCGTAAGTCCAGGGAGTTGGGCAAAGAGGGCACCTTGGTGGCGCACAGACCCATTTCAATAGTCGGGCGACGCTTGCCGCAACCAAAACACCGGTTGCCTAAGGAGAGATTCCCCGGGCTAGTCTACAAGGTTCCATGCACAGGCTGCCACGCGACCTTCCGTAAGAACCGGAATATAGGTTGACACCACCACAACTATGAATCTACGAAAAAGAAATTTTTAAAAATCGCGAAGTATCGGGCACACCCTTGCCTTGATAAATACGTGACACAACCAGCTGCACTGTCATGACGTTTGTTTTTATTTCGACACTATTCTTATGTAGTTGAACGCCAGAAGGCCGCGAAATGCTGTCACTGAGACTCCGACGACGTTTTTCTCACTAGTTACATCCCAGAATGCATCGCTCTTCGTTCTATCCAATGTGTCGCTGATGCAGCATTTTGTGAAAAGACTTGCGCGCCATCTCTTCCTAGAGAGATTCCCATGCTGACGACACCCAGCCACAAACGCTCGCGAGCGGCGGACGCCGTAGGCAGCCAGCAGGGGTCTTGGGATTGTCACTCAGCATAAACTCAGTGTAGAGCTCGCCCAAGCGATCTTTCAAGGGTTGAGCACCACGTCCAGTGGCTGGACGATTGATTTTAGCCCCCCAGGAATCGCGACAAGGTGTGTCTTGCCATCAGACAGAGCTTTTTTTACATCATCCATGAGGTGGCTTTGAAATGAGTCGAGCACCAACATGCTCGGTCGCTGAAAAAATGCACCGGGTCACCGATTCCACACAAGCCGGATCCACTCAAGCATGAAGGACTCATTGATGAACCCTCTTTTTCGGTCGCTCTCACAATGACATCCTGGGGAAAGCCTTCTTTCAGTAGCCCTTTTCTCTTGAAAATGATATAAGGGGGCAGCTTCTTTTCATCAGCTGTGCACGCGAGCATCACTCTTAATCAGGAATGCTTGTTGCCCGTTGAAAAGTGCTTCACTTGCTTGAATCCTTTAGTGGTCACAGTTAGTTTCGAGGGCATATCAAACCGGATTGGAGTTTCGTTAGCGTTGCCCATGCGTCCCATCATGTAGCAATGCTGTCGACGAAGCGCTGATAGTTGACCAGGTTGTTATCAAAATATTCTGGCAGTTTTTGGCACACGCTTCAGCGCAAAGCCCTTCTGCTTCATAAGTTGGCACACCCATGATGGCGAGCCCTTGAATTGCGCCCTCGTGAGCCCGCAGTTGTGCACTATCTCAATAGCTTTCACGAGGATGCACTCCGCTGTTATGTGCGACTTTGCACGCAGCTCCCGGATGAATTCGGCGAGTAGCATTTCCAGTTTGGGGTGCACTGTAGTGCATCCACGAAACGAAGCTTTAATTGGTTGCTGTAGGATGTGACGTGCTGCTTTTGGCTCCTCCGGTATCGGACGCTTTTCTCCGATGCACCGAATTCCCAGTGTGCCACTAGGTTGCCGTGTGCTTTGGCATACTTGATAACTTTTTTTCTTAAAGCCTATCGTAAACTGCCGTCGACTACCACCCATTTCTGAAGGAAAAAGAAAACAGCTGACTGACAAAAACAACCGAAGCAAACTGGCATTGCTAGTACTGTAGGTCTTGCCTAGCCTTGCCCAACGGGGCCGCTGCTGATGCTCACGATGGCAATGAGGGCTTTTGACTTTAGCTGCCTATTGTTGCGAGACTTCCACATTTTTTTCTGCCAATGACCGGTATATAGGATGAGGGTCGACTTTTGATCGCCTTTTTTTTTTTTATCAACCTATATTTCAGTTTTTACGGTACACAGGTAAGACAAAAAACATCCGCGAAAGAACACGCATCGAAGCGACATGCGTTGCATGAAATGCTTTTGATGAACACTGGGAAAAGATGGACCATCCCATCAATTTCGACGGTGCACAGGTCATCGACACGGAAGATAGCCACACAAAAAGACAGTTCTTAGAGTCCTGGTATATGCAAACAACACCGGGAAACATTGTCGGCTTTACTGAAACCTTACTGAGTGTATACGTGCATTGTCTGCGAGAACCAGTGGAAAAAACACTGCAGCGACAAGAACGGCGGAAAGGAGGACGATAGAAAGGGGGACACTGCCACAAGAAGTCGCTAGCTTTGGAGCCGGCCGTACAGTCTCCCCTGAAGAAAAAACTGAATCGGTCCAGAAACTTCTGATCAGTTCTTAGTAGCCATGTGCGAATACTTGAATATACGAATACGAATCTAATGCCAGCTTGTCGAATAGTTCGATTTGCGAATCGAATATGAAGTATTCGGTTACTCGAATATTTGATATATTCGGCGAGTTAGTCTGGTTGGCGGGTGAAACGCATACAATACTTTGAGACTGTACACTCTGTTCAAAACTATACAAAGTCTGTATGTCACGAACCAGGGAGCACGCAGATTAAATTGTGGTCGTGACACAGCCGAGCCGCGAAACTCAAGTAAGACAGCCTTTTGTTTGCGCCGCTTGTACAGGCTGCACTATGTCTCACTTCCTACACATGCAACAGTTGTAGATACACTTGGGAGGAATCGCAGACTGCAATTCGCGAGCACAAAACGAAAGCGCGTCATTATAAACCGCTGAACCACGCACCACGGCCGCCACAGAGAACATTGCTGGCGTGCAGCATTGGTTGCGTTAGCGAGCCACCCTAGTTGCGTCGCGTCGCTGTGCGGCCGATGATGAAGTAGTGGCCTGCCCTTTTGCAAAGGGGGAACAAGCTCAGAGTCGTGGCCCCAAAAAAAGAAAAAAAAAAGTGGAATCAATAAAACCCAGACGCGACAAAGGCAGGAGATGCGCACACAATAACCTAGTGCATAAGTTCGGCGTACTGCGGCACTCGCGCCACCTCCCGGCTGCAGAGTCACCCACTTTCTCTTCTACTTTCGCAAACGGGATAGAGGTGGTGCTCCTGCGTGCGCTTTCTAACTTTTTCATTCTTAAATTTAATTTCATTCTTTAGTCTTCTAGGCCAGAGCATCGGTTGATGCCTGCCCATTGCAAAGGGGGGCGCCACAAATCCAATCCAATCCAACTGCTGGCTCCGCGCTGTTTGGCCATTTGCATCATATCTCCGGGCAATCCGAAACCACCAAGTTCCTCGCACTCGGAAACTACGCCCACGTGTCCTGCTACCGAATTGTATCCGCGCGAGCTGCCGGAAAACGTCGTCCGACGGTCCTGCTGGTCAAGTGCGACATGAGTGAACGAACGAAAAGTGCCATTTGGAAACATTTCGTAAAGAACTCGGCCCAAGAGGTGGCGTGCAAGAAGCTGTGACATGAAACTTCACATTTCTTCAAGTACGACGCCGCCACTTGCGAATCATCTCAAGAACAAGCATTTTTCTTTGCACAGTGTGTTCATGAGAGACAGCGGTAAGCAAGGACGTCCAGACAGAGCACAGCCGTTCATCAGAAATGCGTTGAAGTTGGGCAAGGACTTATCGCAGCTCGAGAGAACGGCAATAACCACAAGGATTGCCCGAATGCTGGTGCTCGACCTCCAGCCTTACAGCTGTGTCGAAAATCGGGGTTTCAAAGAGCTGATGAACCACATGGAGCCTTTGTACAAGATAACCAGCCGCACTACGTTTTCAAGGACAATCATCCCGGAGTTGTACCTAGACACAGTCATGGCTGTGAAGGAGAGAATGCACACTGACTTCCAGGAAGGCGTAGAGTCGATCTCATTGACAAGTGACATGTGGACGTCGAGGTCTAACCAGAGTTATATCAGCCTCACCTGCCACTATTTAACTACGAACTTCGAGATGAGAAGCTTTGCTCTGGAAAACCAGAGTGCGGCCGATAGCCACACTGCTTGCAACATCTTGGAGCACCTGCAAGCAATGATAGATAACTGGAAGCTGCCACTGCAAAAAGTGCCAGTCTATGTGGTGACGGACAATGCACGAAACTTTCGTGCTGCCCTTAGGGGTATTTCTTGCGTCCCAATGCAGTGTATGGGCCATACACTGCAACTAGCTATAAAAGATGCCAAGGAAGAAACAGCAGGAGTGCCTGACATTCTCAAGAGCGCAGTTGTTGGCCATTATAAACACAGTGCCCAAGCTGCTGCAAGACTGAAGGACTGCCAGCGACGAATGGAGCTCTCAGTTCTGGGACTTATTCAAGACGTGGAAACAAGGTGGAATAGTGAGCATGATCTGCTCTCGCATCTTGTGCAACTGAAGGAAGCCATCTGTTTGGAGCTGGCTACCTCTGAGACAACTGTGCCTAACCTGGCACCACAGGAGTGGAAAGCTGTGGTTGGACTAGTCAAAACTCTTGAACCAATCACATCGGCGACCAAAGATCTTAGTGGCCACAAATATGCAACTTTGTCGTCAGTCGTACCGTTTTTGTATGGAACACAGATGATTCTGAAAAACTGTATTGCAGCTGATGATGACACCTCAAAGTTTGCTAGAAATTTGCTGAAAAGCATGAGGACAAGGTTTTCAGGGCAGGACAAGAAAAAGGAGTATGCCTGTGACCCAAGGTTTAAGAACCTCCTCTGTACTCAAACATTCCAGCAAACAAGGCTCTTGGAGCTTGCAAGAACTGAGTTGCAGCTGCCTCCAGAAGAAGAATCAAGTGACTGTGTCGAAGCGTCGACATCTACAGCTCACAAGGAACGTGTCAGCAGTATCTGGGACAGCATTGAGAAGCTGGCAGCGTCATCAGAAAAAAGACACCCCACCGAAACAGCCAACATCAAGGAGTTTAAGCGGTACCTTCGAGAGCCCACTTGCAGCAGGGACCAAGACCCTCTAGCATTGTGGAAAGAAACGGGCAAGCAGCACTTCCCAGGATTGTGCAAGATCGCCGTGAAATACATGGGCATTCCCGCAACAAGTGTACCAAGTGAAAAGCTGTTTTCGACGGCTGGTAACATTGTTACAGCACGGAGGCAGAAGTTTACTTACGGCTGGTAACATTGTTACAGCACAGAGGCAGAAGTTGACTTCAGATCATGTACAACAGCTGCTTTGTTTGCATGAGAATTTGTAAACATTCGTGCTTCTTTTAAATAAACTTGTTATTTGATATTCGATTCGATATTTGGCTTTTTTTTTTCTTAATTCGATTTGGTATTCGATTCGAGGCTTGCTATTCGGTATTCGCACACCCTTAGTTCTTAGTGCTTCAATTTTAACTTTAGAAACTTTGGACTATATATGGCTGGAAAATTTATTTTATATGTATGTTTTCTAACAGCTCGAGAAATCTTGCGACAACGCCGTCTTTTCTGTCCTTGCGTCTTTTTTTCAGCCGTGGCATAGCAATCTTATCGTATTTTGCAAGCTGTCCCAAGCTTGCACAATACTAAAACAATTTGTCGGTGGCGTAGTTTGCATTGCTTCTGGTGCTATTTGTCAAAGTAACTTCCAGAGATATCGAAGGTTTAAAGATAGCGCCTGCAAATGTAGATGAGGAGCAACTCTATGTACCCTTGTCTAGCTGTTCTTGGCTTTTGTGAGTTGTGTGGGTATTTCTGATAGCAGTGGAGATCCTTGAGCAGCTCACAGGTTTCTGTTACTGCTCGCAAAAAGTCAAGCATGAAAAGGGCACAAACAAGATCAGAAAGGCATGGCCCCTTGCATGGCTTCTGAGACCAAGGGATCCTAAATAACGTACGTCTCTGTTACCAGCACTACAACTTGATAAAACTTTGGAGGTCTACGGCATTTTCTTCTCAATGGTGGCTACACACAAGCCTAGGGGGGGGTTCATTTCAGACTGATGTCCAGGTGCCGGGTGACCTGTCATCCGACCTTTAGAGAACATCACCGAGTGCATCAGCTAGACTGTTTCTTCAGCCGTGGAGGCGATCGGCCTCCGTGCTCCAGCTTCAGCCGGACTTCTCAACTTGTGTGCGACCATACGTGCATGCGCAGTTTGTTCAGGTGCTGTTTGAGGGCGGAAGACACATTGAGCCTTGGCACGCTTGTTTGGTGTGCTCTACAGGTCGAGGCAAACAACGAAGCCATCAACATGTCAAGCGAGAGCCGCGACCAGCAGAGCCCTCCGGGGGCATCTTGCAGCTGGCAGTCGGCGTGGGCGGCGGGAGGACAGCAGTCTCAGGAGCAGTCGGGGCAACCCATCATGCAGCAAGGGTCCTCCTATGACAAGCAGGTGAGGGAGGTCGCTTTGCTTACCAAGTGTTTATAATTACAAAAGTGCTGTCAGGACGAGGCCTAAGAATGAACATGCACCAGAGCACATAAAGAACAGAAAATTTCTGTTTAAGAAAAAGCATTCCTATCACAAACTCATGCAAGGAATGTACGTCATCACAAACTCGTGTTATGATTCAGAACTTCATTAACATTATAGTTGTGCTTTTTTCATCACACACTTACAACAGTACGTCGAAAGGCAGTTCTTCCGAACTGTCAGTTGTAATATATTGTGTGGCCTGGGAAAATGCTTGATACTATGCTCTGTGAATTTTACCTAAGATACAGTTTATGGTGTTAGCTGAAAATACTTATAAGCGTAGTTAAAGTCTAATGTAATTTCTTATAACTAATAAGAGCTAACAGACAATGATGCCAAGAGGAGTATAGAGGACATCATTAGAAGTCATTGTTATGTGAATATTGAAGAGAAAAAAAAAAGGTGGACGAAAATATAACTTGCCACCGGCAGGATCCGAACCTGCGACCTTCGGATAACGAGTCCGATGCTATACCACTGAGCTACGATGGCGGTCATCCCCCCGTCAACTTTGTAGGGTATATTTACATATAAACCGCCAGTCGGTGCCACTTGTTACCATTGCAGCGGGTGTGGAACACTCTGTCTTATCTGTTTGACGTCATGTAGTGCGTGATCTTATTACGAGATGGGGGCTGACCAATAATCCCTAGCATACGACCTCAAGGCGTCAAGTCTGCCAGAATGAGACCCTCGCTATCAATGAAGGAAAATGTCAGTTTAGGGGCTGGTTTTTCTGTTTTGGGCACAATATTAGTGACAACTAACAGACAGTAATACCAAGGAAAGTATAGAGGACGTTATTACAAGTAATTGGGATGTAAATGTGAAGAAAGAAAAGTATAGTGACATTTTTGTGTCGAGTGACACATGTGGCCCCTGCTGCTTGTGTGTGCAGGAATCTGACATGTCCCCATCAGACCGTAAGCGCAAGGTCCACCAGCTGATGCCATCGCCCGAGCCGTCGCCTGAGCACGGCTACATCGGCCAGCATTCGCAGGCACTCGGCGGACACTATGCCGACTCATACTTCCGCTACAAGAAGATGAAGGTGGGCACTTAAGGCCCGCCCACCTCCCCCCCTCAAGCCCCGCACCTCCTTTCTCTCGCCCCCTCCAACAACAACAACGCCACCGGCATTGGCGCACCCGATTGCGCTCCATGGCAGCTCAGCTGAGGAATTCCACATCGACCAGGAGAAGACGAGCAAAATCTGAGCAACACTGCAAGTTTGTTTCGGATCGGCGTCCTCTCGGTTCTTTTCTTCTTCGCTTCTACCGAACATCGGTACAATCTGCCTCGCGGTAGTAGTGAAAAAAAAGAAAGCGCGTTTATTTCAGGGCTGCTTCCTCAAGGGAACTTCCATATCCTGTTTGTCGTAGAGACCACGCCACTTCGTTCACTTCTGCCTAGGTTGCCCATTGGCGACAATGCATCGACCACACGTTGCGGCTCCCCGCTACGCAGTCGCGGTGTTCGTTTCTGTCCCACCTTTCGCTAGCCTTTCTGCCTGCACTGGTGCTTTCTTTTAGACATTAGGCTTAACCTGTTGAAGTTAGACCATCTTCCATATATAGCGGCGTTTTTCGGCGATGCGTGTTGGAGGGGGACTGGGTTCGTAGTAGGGCAAGTTGCGGTCCTGGCGGGTCTTGTGGTGGTGGGTAGGTCTCCGAGAGGGGCGCGACGCACCGCTTTGCGATTTTATCGTCGGCAAATGACGACGGAACAAAAACAAAAACAACAACGCTCTTCCGTCTCCGGCTACCCCTCCCTACCCCCCACCCTTATTCTGCGGATTCGCAGGCAACTCCCCCTCCTGATCAAGCTGGAAGGAACTTTATATATATTTATATACATACTTCACCAAGAAACATACAGGCAAAATACCTACTGAGGGAGGCCCACGTGCTTCACGCCGTGATCGGCGCCATCGCGGTGGTCGCGAAGTGTTTTTTTGCGTCGGTAAACTTGTGACGTTACCTGAAGAGCGACGAGACGTTGATGACGGGCAGATGCGCTTCCACCTGCCAAGCAGCGTCTTGCTGCCTCGTGGCAGTGATTATTCCCCGCTTTTCGCAAAGAAAGCAACGTGAGGGTAAGCGTGCCCTGTTGCCTAGCTTTTCCTGGCGTTCGTTGGGTTGAGGTGTTCGGGGCTGCGGTCTCTCGCCCCCAGATAAGTCCCTCTCCCCCATCGCCCTTTCCACGTCACGTGGCTCTCTCACTCCTTTTTTTTTTAAATACTCTGTGAACCCTGTGTTCGTCTTCTGGTGTGTAGTGGCGAGCGCGTCACAACATTGTGCGAGCGCCATAGATATATCTATTTCTTTCCCTTTGCCCAGGGGAGAGGGAGTTTGATTTAAATATTAAAAAAAAAAGAAAGATCGGTGGAGGTGGGCTGAGGCGTGCAAGATGCATCGGCACGAGAGAACCTTGAGGAGATCCTCCTTTTTCTGCAACTAGCCATCAAAGTGTTTTTTCTCGCAAGAAGAACAGAAGCGGCGGCAGCGTTGGACGAACCTATGCAGACGACACTTCCAGAGGCAGTTCTGCCGTTTTTCACACATCTTCTCTCTCTCTTGCTTCTTCACTTTCATTGTTCGGGGGCTGTTTCAGCTTCCGAAAGCGCGTCACATCGCCGAGGTACCGGGCGAAGACTGACCCGCTGACATGCACTAGCTCTTTGTCGCGTTCAGAGCAAACACCGTCAAGAGAGAGAGGCGTATATTTTAGAGTTTCCATTGAGGTTGCATTGCAAAAAAACTTCACCTACCCTTCCACCCCTCCTGCACAGATGTGACAGACTCCATCCCCACCCGCTTTTCTGGAATTTTATGCACTGCCTTTTGCAAGAAAGCCCCAACTTTCATAGCACTCTTGTAACCTGCAAAGAAGGAGAAATTGGCAAAGGCTGCTCTCTCCTATATTTTTTTCCATCTCGGTCACGTCTCACGATCCTTTCCTCCTCTTTTTTCTTCTCTTTCTCCTTTTGTTTTTCCCCTGGTACAAAAGTTGTAACGAAGCGTTGCAACGACGCACACTATTTTCCTTTGGAGGGGTTGTTCCCCTCAAATCTAAGAGCAGTTCGCGATGCAAAAAAAAAAATAAAATAAAGAGAAAGGCCAAGAAGCTAGGCCCACTGCAGCCTATTTTCTCAGTGTTGTTGTTACCGTAGTTGTCCCTTGACCATTGTCGTTGTTTGCACTTTATTTCTATATTGTAGAGGCTTTTGAATGGCTGTTGCATCTTTGTTTTTGTTTTGTTTTTGTTTTTTTTTTTTTGCTGTCCCTGCAATTTTTGGGGGGTCAGCGCATGAAATTGCGCCCCTTTCTTCATAAGTGGCATCCTTTCTTCCTTGCGCTTGCCCCTCTCTCTTTTCGTCATGTTCATAGATATTCCCTGACCTCTCGTTTGTGGATTTACCGTATCGTCTTTGTTGGTTTTGAGTTTGTTCTGGTGCGTACAAAAACAGGGGTGGCGAAAGTGGTTCTGTTGCCGGCAAGTTAGCACGGCAGTGACGCTGGTTCCTTTATTTTCGTGTTTATATGTTTTTGCTTGTTTGTGCGCGTGTCGTTTTCGTGTCGTTTTTTGCCGCTGTGATGAGTTTACCATGTGTGAGTGTATGTTGTATGCATGCGCAGAGGCTCTGGTCACTACTCGGCTGTTGTTTGTAATGGAGCCCCATGCGCGTGTGTGTGTTTGTGCATGTAGAAGGTAGTAGCCAGCCCGACTGGGGAAAGGTGCACGATGTAAGACACAGGATACCTCGCATTGTGTCTGTTGTTCTGGGTTTTCACACCCAGCCTTAACCCTAACATTAGCGTCTTATTATTATTTTTTAATCTCTTCGTATCACTGAATTTTCCAGTGTGCGTAGCGTAGACCAAAATCAAATCTCTTCATCCGTTTTTCTTCCCTGCTTGCTTTTTGCGAGTTTTTATTAGCATATAATGCTATAATGCTAAGCGCTTCCTTACATAATCATGGTCAGTCATATGAAGTGGCAGCGCGTTTTTGAAGCATTTTACGTGCCCCCACTCGTTACTTTGTCATGTCCTAGTGACGATTGAAGCCTGGTGAATTTATTGCAGCATGTTTTATCGTGTTCACATACATGTCCAGTGTATTCCTTGTTGTCGAAGTACGACAAAGCAGCTTTGGTATTGCATGCATTTTTTTCCTTTTTTTTTAAGTTCCATTTTGTTTGGGCTGTCATTCGCATTTTGACCCCAGCAATGCTCCTCGCTTCCCGTGTCTTCATTGTTTTGTTTTTTTGCTATGTGTTTATTTTATGCATAGACATTGCACGCATTGAACCTGTAGCTATGCTGCTTTGGTTACCATGCTGTACATAATCCATTTGCGCGCCTTCGCTGCGGTGTGCCGTTTGATGTGGACGGACGACTGACGGGGTCGATTTGCATCATCAAGACGCCCCATGTAACCTACATTTCCTGCCTCATCGCCGACGCGGCCCAAGTATTCGTGTCCGGAAAAAGGCAGCCCGCAGCAGTGTAGTAGCTGGCATAGCTCGTTTCACAATAACGGTTAGCACTGTATATCTATCTTTCTCTCGGCTCTTGTCTAGTAGCAGCACGCTTGTGGCTTTTGGCAGGTGAATCCCCTTCGTTCCCAGCGAAACCCCCTCCCGTTTCTCCTCGTGGTGTACATTTACGCTCTTTGCTTTGCGCGTGCAGTATGTACTACTCTCCCCACCCGACTACCGTACTAACTGTTCAACGCTTGGTCCAATCAGGGTTTTTTTAGTAGTGCCATACATGTGTAAGGTCGCACGCTACCAAGTATCGAGTTGCAAGCAAGGTTATCCGTAAGCGCAGACGCATGTTGGTTGGTGTTTTCACTCGGTCGCTAACGTATATACTGTGCTGTTGTTCCTTTTTGTGGCTCTCTAGATTAACCTTATTCTTTCCCGGTGCTCTCGTTTTAACACGCGGCGTCGGAGCGCCGCGGCGGGCATCGTATCTATGAAACGAGTATGCATACTGCTTCAGTAAGGAAATATTCTTTCAGAGGTGTGTTTATCGTTTTCTTCGTATCTTTCCGACCTTTTCTCGCCGCCGCTAGTCGTGTTTATGCCTCCCCTTCCTCTTATATGTGCAACGTATACTCATTTGTATCCATTCAGTGTATATAATTATCAGTCAATGTTACGTTTCAAGGAAATAAACAGTCCAGTACTCCCAATCCCGTGTCTCTTTCTTGGCTATGGAAGCACCCATATTAGTTTGTGACAAGTTTCCTGATGAATCTGCTAGTGCCAGGTGACATGGTGCATGTCATTTCTCCAGTGGTTGAAAAGCATTGACGAAATTGATGCCATCAATAAATGTATTAATCAATAGAAAACTCTCTTAACACTGGAGGCATCTTGTGTGGCATGCCAGTGTGCATGGTCATTTGCAAATGCAAATGTAATGTTTAGCTCATATATATAAAATTATGTCTGTGCACCATGTCAGTGAAATTTTAAACCGATTTTAATTTAAAAACAATGACGTGTCTACGGTGTACACATATGCCAGAAAATTCTTGTTCTTGAAGCTGCATCAGCATATGTGGTCACGAGGCAATTGATTTCTATTTCTACCATCGTGGTGGTTATTGGCTCGCACGCTTGCGTCAGAGTCGGCATCGCCCTTAGTGGCCAGATTTGCTCTGATGTGATGAAATTTTTGTAAGCGATTGCATGTACCAATTGCTTTTCTTGAACTTTTGATGTTGCGGTTCAGTTTTTGACCACTGTACATGCTATTCCACTATGTGGGGGCAGACAACCAGGGAAGCTGTGTCCTTGCTAACAACCGTGCCTTCCGATGACAAGCTAGCAGTCGCATGCACAAAGATTGATCCTTATCTGTCTAGCCTCTCATGTCGCAACGGAGGTTTCAAATTGTTGTGCAAATTAAAAAATAATTATTGTTTTTAATATTGAAGGAAGGATGTACAAAGTAACTGTGCCACGCTCTCTTTGCCAGGAACAAGGAAGTTTGCCTTGGAAATCCGCCTTTCTCAGTTTGCTGCGAGCGAGCGGCAGTACATCTTGTTGTTCGCTATTTCACTCATTTTTCAGGGGCAAGTTTTCGAGCACCAACGTCGTGAAATCGTAAATGCTAGCTAGCCCCATTATGAATGTAAAATATTGCTTTGTTTAATTGCGACTGAGTACGGTAACTAATCGAGTGCGACAGCTATGGTGGCCAACAAATTAGAGCATTACAAAGTCTGGTTTCAATGCTTGGCAGCTGTCGCGCATTATCGAAATGTCTCTTTGCTCACTTTCCTGCGTGCTTTGCAACGCCTCGAACCGAAGTGGAATTAATCGTTACCGACTCAACAGGCTTGTCACAGCTTCGATAGCAACAGATTTAATACCAACACACTTGGATAAATCTCCCCAAAAGCCTCCGAGATCAGTAGTGATACTCTGGGCGCCAGCTTACGTCTGCATTCCTAGCAAGATCGCCAGCCTTGTGACCCGAGATTCAACTCGCTGATCTGACACCAAGAAAGGCAAATCAAGACGCATGCATGCTCTAATTGCATACCGTGACATTACACAGCATTATAAGCTCACCCGAAGAACGTATTCTCCCCCGTACAAGTCGCTCCCTTGAAAACAAAGATTACTCCGGAGTCTACAGGTTAACGAATTCCTGTTGCCATCCAGAAATCTCTTCATAGCCTCCTACTCTGTTTACTCTGCAATGCTGCTTCTGCAGAGAATCCTTGCCCTTCCCTAGTAAGGTAGGTGGCTGCCAAAAATAGTTTCTACCCCTCCCCCACTGTTCTTGGCCCACCCATAAGCTTTGAGAGAGAGCTTTGGCTAATGCTCCAACCTTGATGATAATCAGCTATGAGGATGGTCGTGAGGGCTTGGAACGCTGCTTTGAGCATGCCAGAATAAGGACGCCTCACCTTAGCCACCTTGTAAATAAGTTTATTATCTCTCATGAAGTCAGCATGATTTGGTGGCCCCCTGCCTTTCAACATACAGTTTGTTGCCACACGAAGTAGCAATGGATTCTTGAGATGCGGAGGCCGGCCCTCAGCCAGGATTTTTTTTCAAGGCAGGAGGAATAAGGCATGCACCTGCTAGAGGCTTTGACAAATCGGTGATAGCTTTCATTTCGACAAAGATGGGGACCTAGCCCCCGCACCACTCCCCCAGCTACGGGCTTGTGAAGAATTACTTTGATATGCATTGCAGGTAGTCTTTCAGGAAATAGACGCGTCTATGAGCGAACACTCGCATTGAAGGGGGTCTGGAGAAAAGCGATTTTTCCTCTCTTCGTAAAATACACGTACACAATACCAAGAACACAACTCCCGAGAGAAAGCGCGCGAAAAGGGCTTGCAGTGACGTCACAGATTTCGACTGTATACTAGAACCTACGCAGTTTTTATTAGATGACGTACCCAAGGACGAAAAAGTTTATAGCACCATTTCCAGAAAATTTGTTGGGCCATTGAAGCGACGATAGATGAAAACACATTTGGAAGTATGTGACGACCAGAGGACATTCATGTGCAGGCATTGGAGTGAAATTAAACTATAATAATAGTAATTACAATATTATTGATAATAAATTTTTGATAAGCCTATGGCGCTTAATTGACAGCGGAGATTTCAAATAACAATACTGTCTACACTCATTATAACGGACCCACGTTACGACTTTCGCATACAACGTCCTATTATTCAGCTTAAGTTTGGTCTGATGGAGCGAAGTGCGTTTTTAATCAGATTGCTATAAAACGGACTATCGGTTACAGTAGCTAAAATGAGCGGCATTTTTTTCCCTCAAACTGGGCGCATAAAGCCTGCGTTGTTGACGTGGAATGACAAGACTTTACCACACCGCTCTCTGCGCACTGAGATCACGATTATAAGTTGCTGCTGGCAACATTGGTCGCTTTCAGCAAAGCCAAGCTGCCAGCCAAGTCAGTCTGAGTCGGCGGTGGCGGCGTCGTATTGGCGCGAATGGTTCAAGTGTGCAGCTGATTTATGGTGATAGCTGACTGAAATGCGGGACAAAATAATTGCATTTTCGCTCAAGGCTGTCCGCCAATCTCTTATCACACATTCTTTTTTAAGCGAAGTGCATGTAAATAGTTTTGTTTGTGTTTTGCGTCAGACATTCGTCACTCCGTTGTTAGGCACGGCGAGCGAAGTTTTGAAAGTGGGACCCGGTGCTCCAAGCAGGTGAGTTTCGGTGTCAAATGAATCTTAATGCGGCAGTTGCCTGGGTGTTGCTCACTTCCGAACTCTCGGAACAGCTTTGTACCCTCCATTGAACCGCGGAGGTTGCGCGGGAGCAACAGCTTTAAGTTAGTATACATTGCTTTCCCGTCCGCACAAATTAAAAATAATTGATTCCAAGCTGATCATCAGAGCTGGCTGAAAAGGCCTACATTATAATCGGGCTAAGCTTTGCTGCTGTGCAGGGGCCACATGACGTCCCTGCACCTACTGTAACAGAACTCTCTCATTAATTGGAACTCATACACTGCAATTTCGTAAAAGGGGAACTCCGGTGCTTTCTTTTTTACCTTGATAAGATAATGGCGTTTTAAACTAGTACTAACAGCCCTGTAACAGCTAGGGTGGCTAATTTTTACTGAGATACTCGTAAATAATATTAAATAAACAATATAAATGGCGAGTCAGAACTGAAACCGAAACCATGGCTGGCCAAGGTGTAAACATAGCACTCGCGCTTGTTCGATATCGTACGAAAAGCTAGCTGGCAATGTCATCCGACGCGAAGTCAAGCTGTGCCAGCCCGTATGAACTCACCAGTGACTTGTTCAGCGACGATTTCAGCTACTGACGTGTGAACGCGGAAGCATATTCGCCTCGTAGATGAAAGCATGGACTGCGTTCGTTCCACGGAGCAACTTTTTCTGCTCCGCGAAAATCGGTGAATTCCACTGGAAGTCGCAAGCGCCATGTGCCTTGAAACGGTGCTAACTCAGGGCGTGCCAACGAACGCCGGTCGTGTCAGTTGCACTTAGCGTCGGAGCTCACGTTTTGCTAGCGTAGTTAGGTAGGTAATCAACTTTATTGATTCACGAAGGAATCATTTGAGGGGGGGTGTGGTTGGGGAAGTGGAATCAGGATGACGACGAGCCCTCAGGCCGCTCTAGGTGGCCGGACACTGCTGTGCTTCGGCGACCCTTCTGGCCCAGCTCACTGTCCGGAGCTGTAAACCCGGTTGCGAGCTGCGCAGAGCAGCCTCCCATCGCTCCTGATGTTCTGACCCTTGCCACGGAAGCTTGGGTTTGTTTGGACAATTCAGGAATATGTGCTGGAAGTCGGCTCTGGTGCTAGGACATAAGTTGCAATGAGGCGAGGTGTCGCCATGTGTAAAAAGGGAGAGAAGAAAAGGAGTCGTCACTGTGGCCGTTTAAAGTCTGCGCCACAAAGCCTGGTCACTTCTGGAGAGAGATATATGTGGCGGGGGATACGTTAGGCGGGAATTTCGGTAAAATAGCGTGATATCGTGATAGCTGAGGAGTCGATCCCTGGCACCTCGAAGCGAAGGCAGGTCGCTGTGAGCCCGGTTGGCGAGTGCTCGGGCTTGGGTGTTTGCTAGCGTGTGTGTTCCATTGGTAGGTTCCGTCCTGTTGCCCTCCGCCAGAGTGCAGTGCTCCGGCGCAGAGTTCGTCGGCCACTCCGAATCTGCGAAGTGATGACACCATAAAATAATACTTAATAAACGCCGGGCCTGTCCTACTTAACAGATCACTCGTGTGTCGACATAGATGGACATCAATATGTATTAGCTAGTTAACCGAATGGTTTCATGGAAATAATTCCGCACAGCCACATATACCTTCGTGTCTTGTCTTGTCTCCTAGGAGATCTTGGCTCATATATACCCTCAAGGGGGATTGGCCACACTGTATTTTATAATATATCTTTTTTTGTACAACGCTTCTAAAAAAAGAGAGAAATTAGATAAGAACAATAATAATGTTCCTTTGAAAAAAAAAACGTGAAAAAGTGCAGAAGAATTCGATTAACCAGAATATATAAAACAAATTAACAAGAATGAGGAAGGGGGACAAATAATTGGATATATCTGGCAGTACCACTAGCAGCGTATCCTTCCGGTCGTAACCTTCGTGTCGTCTTGTTTTTGTTTTTGTTTCCCTGGGAGGTTGGCTCATACCCACTTAGG